TTTTTTTTTATTCCAATCAGCAAGAATTTAACATTATGTATAAACTAGGGCTGTGCAAAGATTAATTATCCAAAATAAAAGTTTGTGTTTACATAATATACGTGCATGTGCTGTGTATAATTATATTGTATATATAAATACATATGCATGTATATATTTAAGTATTATTTGCACATAAATACGGCATATATATATATATATATATATATATAATTTTATACACACACACAATCTATATTATTTATAAATATTTTATATATGAATAACACATTTTATTAAATATATACATGCACGTGGGCTGTGCAAAGATTAATCGTGATTAATCGCATCCAAAATAAAAGTTTGTGTTTACATAATATACGTGTGTGTTATATGTAGAATTATTTAGTATATGTAAATACATATGCATGCATGTATATATTTAAGAATTATTTGCACGTAAATACTCTGTATGTATATATATACTGTATATAAATACATAATCTATATTATATATAAATGTAAATATTTTATATGTGAATAACACATTTTCTTAAATATATACATGCATGTGTGTGTATTTATTTATACAAAATAATTATATACAGCACACACATATATATATTATGTAAACTTTTATTTTGGATGCAATTAATCGCAATTAATCTTTGCACAGCCCTAATATAAACACTTCACAATATATATCTATTTTTTGGTATAACATTAATGACAATTTAAAGAGAAAATCTGCTTAATTGTAAAAAAATCTAAACACTGTTAAAAGCTTTCAATGCAAAATGTCTTATTTGTTTTCCTTTGGTTGAGTGGTGTAATGTGACCTGTAAGTGTTTTCGCTGGTTTTTATGACTATCTTTTACAGATTGTTACTCATCAGACATGGAAAAGAAAACATGTGACTTTTGCCATTATATTCAGCTGAACCAACATGAGCAGGGCCGTGTTTTTGATCAGTTTCTGATCTTGTGTGAAACCCAACTAATCAAACTGAGAACTACTGCCCTAGCAACCGCCCAGAATAGCCTAGCAGCCACCTTAAAATGCCCTAGCAACCACATAGCAACGGCCTCGCAACCACTCACAAACACAAATTGTGAAGTTTTGTAAAAATTTAGTTTTTTGTTTCTTGATCTCATAATAACAACAAAAGGCAATAATAATAAAAACATATTTAAAAAAATGTAAATAAAAACAAGAGTTAAAGTGTAAAATGACTAATGATACTTAATATATATATATATATATATTTCAGAAATATATCAGATTATAGCTGCACGATTCTGGGTAAATTGAGAATCACATTTTTATTTTTTTTGTTTCAAACGTGATCAAGATAACAGACAACTAAATAAAATAGCATGTAATTTACGAGTTTCAGCCAAAAAGCTGCAGTCTATTTAAAATGTTTAATTAATCTGAACGGATTATAAAAATAAAATAAAAGGTTTGAGTGAATAATTCACTCACTCATAAAGATGTCACTTACAGGATAAATCAACGTTTCTGAACAAATCTCTTGAATGAATGAACGATTCAATGACAAATACATTTTTTAACAGTCACTCGTCGCCACCTACTGGTGTAACCATGTAATGATCCAATACTTGAATCTTGTTCGACAGTTTTTATATCCGAACTATAAACTTGTATCCTAGTATTTCTATGATAATATGAATATTTGTAACGCATAACGATTCTGTGAAGCGGTTTCGAACCTACAGTCTCATGATATCAGCTCTCTCTTCGGTCAGCAACATCTGAATGACTAGATTTTGTCTAAGGTTTAATAGACACAGACGAATCGTTGTCATTTAGGAATGAGATCACGTGTGTTTTTCAATGGAGATCACGATTAATTTTACAGCTCTACTTCAGATGCTACTAAAATGACTCCAGATGTGTGTGACATAAAAGCCGCTTTCTCTGATCTCTGATCTCCTGTGGTTTTCGAATGCATTAGGACAGAGTCAGAATCCAGTCTGTGAAATTCCCTGTAACCTGACCTGGCCTCATGTTTGTTTAGCTGCCGAAACACCTTTAACAAACAGCTAAGAACTAAGAGCAGAAAAGCTATAAACCCTTGCATGAAGAAGAATCACTCGTGGGAAAAGGTTTGTGTTGGCTTGCAGTGAGGAAATCCTAATGAGATTAATGTACTGTAGTGAGTCATGAGTCGCGGAAACATGTCGTAATCACACAGTGAGAAGACGGAGGAAATAACAGAGCATGTGCATCTGCCCGAAGCAGTTTCTGCTCAACCGATTTGGAAACCTGTTCTCCTCCATGACCACAGGAACAGTAACGCAACATCCTGAATCTATAAACATCTTCACGTCAGTGGAACTACCAGGTCAGACTGGTTGATCTGGTTGCGATGGAGCAGCTGAGAGACGCTTGTAAGTGAAAGACACTTGTTGACATCAATATATTTTTTCTTTTTGTCTTAGAGGAGTAAAAAAAAAAAAAAAAAGGGTTTTGATGAAAACATTCCAGGATTTTTCTCCATATAATGGACGTCAATGGGGTCCAAATGAGAGTTTCAGTGCAAATTACAAACTATTCAAAGGGCTTTAAATGACACCAGACGATGAATAAGGGTCTTATCAAGTGAAATGATCACTCATTTAATAAATAAATAACAAAGTTTAAGTTTTATAAGCACAAATGCTCTCCTTGCTCTGTTCTGTGATGCGCGTTCGTGACTCTCCTGTTCGAAACTCGTTCATCAAAATGAACGAATCTTTTTTCAAGTCGCAATGGAGAACGAAATGAATGAAATGAATGCATTTCATTTATTTAGAATGGAGATGTCTGAATAAACCAAATGACTCAAAAAAAAGATTCGTTCATTTTGATGAACGAGTTCGAACAGGAGAGTTACGAACGTGAATCACAGAACAGAGCAAGGCGAGCATTTGAGCTTATAAAACTTAAACTTTGTTATTTATTTTTTAAATGAGCGATCGTTTCGCTTGATAAGACCCTTATTCATTGTCTGGTGTCGTTTAAAGACATTTGAACAGTTTGTAGTTTGCACTGAAACTGTCTTTTGGACCTTGAACCGTTTGGACCCCATTGAAGTCCATTATATGGAGAAAAATCCTGGAATGTTTTCATCAAAAACCTTAATTACTTTTCGACTGAAGAAAGAACGACATGGACATCTTGGATGACATGGGGGTGAGTAAATTATCAGCAAAAGTTTTTTTTAAAGTGAACTACTCCTTTAAGAGCTTTTTCAAGTCACATGTCTTCCTTTATTGAGATGTTTAGCTGGACCTACCGGGCGTGTAGAGCAGGACGTCCACCGCTTGAGGAGACGTCTGGTCCAGAGACGGGTTAATCTTGTGTTTGAGGGTCTCAGATGTGGTTTTGGGGACCATCATGGGCACTATAACAAACCCAGAGACAGGCAGTCAATTTACATTTAATCATTCAGCCAAAGCCACTCACAAGTGTGGACTTAGACAGTCACTAAATACTAAAAAGGTCATTTATCAGACTGTCGGTGACACGGCTCACTTATGGCAAAAATCATAAACATGTTTACTGTATCACAATCATTTAACACAATTAATCATTGAATCAGTGGATTCTCATTAAAAATAATTCAAAAACAAATGTAACATAATGATTTTTTTTTCTAAAGAAAGTATTACTTTTATTGATCAAGGATTCATTATTTGATCAAAAGTGACAGGTAAAATGCTACAAAAGATTTATATTTCAAATAAATGCTGCTTTTCTAAACTTTCTATTCATCAAATAACCCTGGAAAATAAAAAGGAACCCCAGTTTCCACAAAGATATTAACTATTTTGGATATTGATAATAATCAGAAATGTTTTTTGATAATCAAATCATCATATTAGAGTGATTTCTGAAGGATCATGTGATGCTGAAAATTCAGCTTTGATCACAGGAATAAATTACACTTTACAATATATTCACATAGAAAACAGCTATTTTAAATTGCAATAATATTTCATAATATTACTGTTTTTACTGTATCAAATCATTTAGGGCTTGGTGAGCAGAATAGATTCTGCTATAGATAAATAGATAGATAAATATATTTATTTTTAAAAACACAGAAATAAAAAATAATAAACAAAACTAAGTGGATAACAGTGAATAAGATCAACTTATGTTAAGTGCACTTCCACAATCTATTAAAAACCCTAAATCCTTAAATATCTTGATTCTTTTGTTTTCATAAATCATAATAGAAAATACAATTCGATTAAACACCCAGCTCTTGACATACAGTGACAGGAAACACCAATTTATTTCAGCCATAACAAACTATTTGAGCGATACACACCCTCAAACTTCATTTTGTCGAAGTAGGCCAGTTTGCTCGCGGCGTAGATGGCTTTCTGTGACTGCAGGCTCCCGACCACGGCGTCCATCAGCAGGGCGTTAGTCAAGGCCTGCTCCATGAACTGAGGGTCCTGTGCCAGAGATATCACACACACACACACGATCAGGACAGACACTCCTGACCCTCAGGCCATGAGCTTCAGAGGAACAGCCGTTTGAGAAAGTGAGAGTAAAACCCAACACTACTGTACTAAAGTCACATCGAAACCAGTCTGGTTTCTACGGTGTTATTTTACACAGTATTCGGGTGTTCACAGGAAATGCTGATCCTCACACACTCTCTTATAACTTGCATTTAGGAACATTTAGGTGGACATAAGATTTCAGGACTTTTAGACAGATTTGTAACAACAAGTGTATATAAAGCTGTTGTTTTCCTCCAAAATAAAAGCTCAAGGGTTTAAAGCTTTAAAGATTTTTTTTTAATTTTTAATTTTTTTTTTTTTAGTAAAATAATCATTATTATTATCCTGGAATTTTCCTTATTTATTTTAAAAATGCAAATGTATTTGTATAAGTATTTGATAAGACCCTTATTCATCGTCTGGTGTCGTTTAAAGCTGCACTAAAACTCTCATTTGGACGTTGAACCGTTTGGACCCCATTGAAGTCCATTATATGGAAAAAATATTGGAATGTTTTCATCAAAAACCTTAATTGTAGCAATAAAAAAATAATTAAAAGCAATAAAGAACGTTGAAATAAAATAAATTCACCATGTGAGATATTTTATGTTCAAAGCACAATATGACAAAATCAGATCAAAATCAAAACAGCCCTATTATTTTTTTTATCATGCAGCCCTGCACTGTAAATAGGTTACTAGCTATTCTCAATGCATGTATGAATTAAGTAATAGTGCTTTCATTAAATCTTTTATGTGTAAAGTGATTTGGCTGACAAAAAAACTAGAAGTAGAAGTTGAATTTGGCAAAAATGATGCAGTCATCTAACCTTATGATCGTCGGCCATCTTCCTCCCGGCCCACATCTCTTTGATCATCAGGTGCCAGAGGTCACACTCCGACTTCAGGTTGACCTCGAACGACTCCTTCCTGATGGACGTTCTGATCTTCAGCGACGGGATCCTCAGCAGAAGGAAAGGAGCAGAAGATATCTTCACATCCTGGATGAGGAGAACAACGTGTGAACAACCAACAATCAAAGATGGGTGCCTGGCTAGATGTTAAAGGATTAGTTCACTTTAAAATGAAAATTAACCCATTATTTAATCACGCTCAAGCCATCCGAGGTGTATGACTGTCTTCTTTAAGACGAATACAATTTTACAGCGTAAATATCAGCAGTTGCACTTTACACGTACGTGGAATCTGTCCGGAAGCAAGTTATTTTACTTTATAAAGTTTTAAATATTAATATTTTTCTTACACAAACTCATTGTTTTGCTTCAGAATGACTTTATTAGCGTGTGCCTCGTGAAGTTTATGACGGATGGATGCACATTTCTGGGCTTCAATCTGTGGGTTTTAAAGGGATACTCCACTTTTTTTGGACATAGGCTCATTTTACCACTCCCCCAGAGTTAAACAGTCGAGTTTTACCATTTTCTAATCCATTCAGACGATTTTTTGATATTTAGAAGAATATCAGTAACCAGACAGTTTGTGGTCTCATTGACTTCCATAGTATATTTTTTTCCTACTATGGTTGTCAATGAGACCAGAAACTGTCTGGTTACGGATATTCTTCTAAATATCAGAAAATCGGCTGAATGGATTCGGCTATTTCCAAAAAAAGTGGAGTATCCCTTTAATCAACTGCCATTATAAAACTATTTTTTAATATAACTTCAATTGTATTCGTCTAAAAAAGCAAAACAAAAAAAAAAACCTTGAGGGTGAGTGAAACATGGGCTACTTTTCATTTTTGGGTGATCCTCACCTCAATATCTCTGAATTTGGTGACCTCGACGTATCCCGGCCGGCCCTCGGTCAGCAGGAAGAGCCTGCGCTTGGTCATGGCGATTTTTCCCACGCCGTGGCTGGTCTTCACGGATGACGAGAGCTTGTACACACACTCGCCGCTCTCCAGGTGTTCCAGCGCGACGGCCGGCAAGTCCACGTCTTGAGCCGCGGCCTCGGTCTCCTTCCAGAAGCTGTAGAAGAAGCGGAAGATTTCCGGATCCACCTGCTTCTGCTGGCCTGTGTGGAGGAGAGATACAAAAACACCAGCGTTTTATTCTCCAATAAAATCCCTGAAAATCCCAGTTCTAGTCAAGATAAATCTAAATCCAAATTATTATATAATTTTTGCGAGCCCGAACATTAACAGCCACGTCCTAAACACACAATTATGACGTTCTTTTTATAATTTTATGTCACCTCTATAACAGATATGCATTTCATATGTTGCACTAGGGCTGTCAAACGATTAATCGCGATTAATCGCATCCAAAATAAAAGTTTGTGTTTACATAATGTGTATAATTATATTATATTATATTATTATATATATATATATATAAATACACCCACATGCATGTATATTTAAGAAAGAAATATTATATAAAATATGTATATTTATATACAAAGTATAATATAAATTATATATAAATCTATCTACAGTATATATATGAAAATATTTCTTAAATATATACAAGCATGTGTGTGTATTTATATATATATATAATAATAATATATAATATAATAATTATACACATTATGTAAACACAAACTTTTATTTTGGATGCGATTAATTGCGATTATTCGTTTGACAGCCCTATGTTGCACTGAACCATATTTTCTATTTATGAAGTGATTCCAACCATATTTCAAGCAAGGAAGTCTCAGCTGAAGGAAATTATTAAATATTTATCGGATTTAATATATCGACCAAATAGAAGGAGTGACACATTAAACATGAGTGTGAGGAAATGATGATAGTTATTGGAGATCTCATGACATCTGAGATAAGGATGGTTCTTTACTTTATGGCTCTAAGCAATGAATCCACACGGTAAAGAGCGAGATGTACACGGCACACAGTTCAAACCTGTCTGACAACTACAGAGTTATGCCTTGCATTCTTTCACATTTAAAAAAAAAAATAAAAGAACGACGAGTCATGCCGCGTATGAGTGAGAAATGCATCTCCACACACATGACAAACACAAACACGGTCCGGGAACTGTGATGTGTCATACAGTCGAAGACGTTACATGAACTTTTGACACACAGGAAATGATTAACCAGCGTTATATATGAAGAGAGAACTAGCGCTAGAGGTTACACACAAACAGGGTTAGGGAATCTGGCCTACCTGAAGAACATTCCTTCACACACACATTCATGCACATGCACGTACGGAGTGGTGTGTGCTGAAGTGCCATGTCGTGACGGGTATTAGTACAGATGGCACACTGCACAAACACACTACGCTTACCGTCCACGGCAAGGTAAAATACAGACTGGGACGAGGCCTCCACACCTGGCAAACCAAAGCCATGTTTACCAAAAACACGAGGGGTGCATGACATCATCAGCCAACACGAGCAGATTTAAATTTGGCCGATTTTGGAAGCAGAAATTATGAGAATATTATTTATGTTTAATATATTCTGTACAATAGGGGAAAATAATACATTTACAACAACGGACATCATATATCTATCCATCTATCTGTCCGTTAATCTATCTATCTATCTATACATCAATCATCTATCTATCTATCTGTCTATCCATCCTCCATCTATCCATCCATCTGTCTATCCATCCATCAGCCACCCATCTATCTGTCCATCCATCTATCCGTCTCTCCATCCACCCATCTATCTTTCCATCCATCCGTCTTTCCATCCATCCGTCCATCTGTCTGTCCATCCATACATCCATCTATCTGTCCATCCATCCATCTGTCTATCTATCTGTCTATCCATCAATCCATCCATATGTCTATCCATTCATCTGTCTATCCATTCATCCATTTATCTGTCTATCCATCCATCTATTCATCCACCCATCTATCTATCTGTCTGTCTATCTGTCCATCCATCCATCCATCCATCCATCTATCTATCTATCTATCTATCTATCTATCTATCTATCTATCTATCTATCTATCTATCTGTCTATCCATTCATCCATCTATCTGTCTATCCATCCATCCATCTATCCATCCACCCATCTATTCTATGTATCTGTCTATCTGTCCATCCATCCATCCATCTGTCTATCCATCATCCATCTGTCTATCCATCTATCTATCTATCTGTCTATCCATTCATTCATCCATCCATCCATCCACCCATCTATGTATCTGTCTATCTGTCCATCCATCCATCCATCCATCCATCCATCCATCCATCTATCTATCTATCTATCTATCTATCTATCTATCTATCTATCTATCTATCTATCTATCTATCTATCTATCCATTCATCCATCTATCTGTCTATCCATCCATCCATCTATCCATCCACCCATCTATTCTATGTATCTGTCTATCTGTCCATCCATCCATCCATCTGTCTATCCATCATCCATCTGTCTATCCATCTATCTATCTATCTGTCTATCCATTCATCCATCTGTCTGTCTATCCGTCCATCTATCTATCTGTCTGTCTGTCCATCCATCCATTCATCCATCCATCTATCCATCTGTCTGTCTATCTGTCCATCTTTCTGTCTATCCATTCATCCTTCTATCTGTCTATCCACTGATCCATCTATCCATCCATCCATCCATCCATCTATCTGTCCATCCATCCATCCATCCATCATCTGATGTTGCATTCGTGTCTGAATCAGGTTTATTTTTTGAGTGATCCGGGGAAGCGCTCTGTTAGGTCACGCAGCATCGGTATCAACCTCAGTACAATTGGATTTCAAGAGCAGCTTGTCAGTTTTGCGTTGTACCCACCAACAGTGAGCGCCTCAAACAGCCTCTGGATGGTTCCCAGATCCTTAACGATGCCGGACTCCTGAACGCACCGCACAAAGTCCTCCACGTGCAAGTGTTTCTTGGGCAGTTCGAATCTCTTCACCGTCCCGCCATCCATCGGTTGCGCCAGCTCACGCTCATTGTCTTTTTTCACCCGGCTGATCAGACGCTTCAAATCGGGGCGTTGCTCGGCCAACTTTCTCTCGTTCCCTGGTAGCGACTCAACCAGTGCGTTCAGCAGCTCGGCTGGAAAGATGTCCATGTCTGTCTTATACAAGCTCTGGAAGTCTCCGAGGGCGTCCACGCGTCTGCCGGCCACTGAGTTCACCAGGCCTCGAAGGTAATAGTAACGGGCCAGCAGGGCGGAGTCATCTGGGGTCGCCATGGAGATGGCTCTGCTCAACTGGCCAATGAGATCAACATAGTACTTCTGAACGTACTGATAGGACAGCGGAGGAGGGAATTCTGGGAGATTAAAGGTTCTGATTGGCCTAGAGGGACCCCAGGAACCTGTTCACATAAAATGGAGATAAGTGACATGTACTATGACTTTTTTCCATGTTTTATAGATTAAAAATCTGCAGTTTTTTCAATCAACACATGCATTCTTCAAACCACATCTGGTTACACATGTTTCTAAATTGTTTGTGATTTTCAGAAAAATCTGTTCTTAAAAGTTTCTCACCGCTCTGTAAAGACATTGTTCCGACTGATATCTGTCGGACCGGGAGAGTAAACAATCGGTGGTCCGCCAGGTTTGGCATACTCTTCCCCAGCCTGTTGTTCAGGCCGTTCTCTAGTCTGAAGGTCTTGCGGTTGGCCTCCTCCATCGTGGGTCTGCGTGGACACTCCGCCATGGTCCTCAACCTGAGGAAAAGACACGTCATCATGGAGAAATCAGAAAGAAAATGGATTTTAAATTTGGCTAAACTGACTACTAAACTGACTAGTTTTTTTAAAGGGGTGATGAACTGAGAAATCAAATTTTCCTTGAGCTTTTGACATCTAAGAGGTCATCACATTATAAGAATATCCTGTAAGTTTCAGAACTGAAAATGTCCTTGTTAGTCAAATAAAAGCTTTTATTGACACCAGCCTCAGCAAACGACTCGTTTTTCAAAGTGGGGAACTATGACGTCAAAGAGGATAAAACCCCACCCCCGCAGAAGAAGAGCAACGCGGACAGTTTAGCCCCGCCCACTGATTCGTGCATTTACGCGTACCTAAATAACATAGATGCCTACCTCGTGATGACAAACCGGATCCAGCCACCGAGCGATACAGAATATTGTGGAAGAAGACAGTCGCCGCATACGCTTCATTTCACTGAGGATTGTTTGTAAACTGGATTTGCAGACCGATTAAGAGTAAAGAACGGTGCTGTGCCGTCTATATTGGATCTGACAGGAATGGTGCCAACACACGGACTCTGGGTCGAACGTGTATGGGCGAATCATTCCGGATGTCATTTTACAACGTTGGACGTATTCAAAGCTATTTCCCCCACGTGCATCGACAGGTGAGTTGAAACTCATTAATATGCAAAACTGTTATCCACTCACAGCAGTGGGCGTTTACTTCCAAGTCTTCAGTGCGAGACGCCCATAAAAACCGAGCGTTTTTGAGCTAGGCTCAAAACTAGGGTAGAAATAGCCTATTACTTATTAATTTTGATGTTTTTGAATGCAAAAACCAAGCGAACGTCATAAGTTGACCTCAAACAACAATATAATAAAATTTAAAAAGCCAGTTCATGACCCCTTTAACCTAATGTGTGCTACTGCTTCACTGATAATCATTTCAACTAGGCCTGGACGAAAAATCGATTAAATTAATTAATTTGAATTTTTTGTCGCGAGCGATTTAAAAAATAAGTAAATCGAGTTTTTGTGTAATGTCACATTTTTGGCTCCCCGGAGTTTCCGTAGCGTTAGTTTCACTCAAACGGTTGTCTGCCGTTTGTACTTATTGCTGTCCTTAATAAGCAAGGGGGGAAAAAATCGTTAAAAAAAAACGTAAATCGAATTAATCTGAGATTTTATTTTTAGGCCATATCGCCCAGCCCTAATTTCAACATGTAGAAATGAATGGGAAACAAGTTTATACACTATAGCAGGTAAACGCACAGGACGATGAAAATGAATGACTCGCTGTTTCACAATTTAAAACACTGACCAAAATTACTTACCAAACCGGTCAAGTTACATGCATTCGAACACCATGACCAGCTAAAAAAGATAAACTCGGTTACTCTTCCTCTTACCAGGAAGAGACTCGCCAAAATGATTTTCTTGTTATCAAGCCAAACATGCAGTACATACTAAAAAATCCATTCTTTGCATTATCCTGCTGGAAATAGCCATCAGAGGATGGGGACATGGTGGCCATAAAGGGATGGACATGGTCAGAAACAATGCTCAGGTAGGCCGTGGCATTTAAACGATGCCCAGTTGGCACGAAAACAAGAAAACATCCCTCACACCTAGGGGTGCACGATATATCGGCCACCATATCGGTATCGGCCAATATTTGCTCATTTTTATGTTATCATTATCGGCCCGATAATAAAATTTGTCTGATATATTAAAGCTGATAAATAATGAATTATTTCCTTCAACACTAGACACCTGAGACTCTTAAGATGCGCACTGTTCAACATGATTGATCTTAATTGCTTGAAATATGATTGGAATCAAAAAGGAAAATATAGTTAAATGCAAAATGTGCCGTCATATCAGCTACTTCAAATTATAATGAGAATATTACAATTGTGTTAGGGGACGGATTTTAATTATGAGACTTTTGTTTTTGCAATCAGGCTTCCAAAAATTATATAAAAATTGGATTTAGATTTATCGGCCGATATATCGGTTATCGGCTTTCAAATATAAAGAATTATCGGTATCGGTGTTTATACCAAAATGTTCAAATCGGTGCATCCCTACTCACACCATTACACCACCACCACCAGCCTGCACAGTGGTAACAAGGCATGATAGATCCATGTTACACTCTCTGAACTGAACATTTTAGACCACTGTGCCTTTAAACCTCTTCACATGTGAACTGAGTGCAATATCCTTTCTCTGGTGTGCACATGTTTTACTGTAAATATAGTCTTTAACTTCTTCTTTTACTTTCAGTAAAAGAATCACTTTGAGACAGATTAAGTGAAGAAATAATGCCTATTTTTATATATCCCTGTGACGTTTAGATGTTTCCTGTATTTGTTTGAAGCATATTTGATCCGTGTTTCTGCTCAATAAGCCCTAAAGTGCCCCATTATGATATTTTAAAGGCTCTCGCTTTTGTTTCGGATGTCTCTCACAATACATCCAAGGTCAAAAACATTGAGTAGACACAACATGCCGTCTGAAACAGTTTGATAAACGGTTCAGTCTTTCCAAGAGCCTTCTCTGCTCTGATTGGCTAGATGGCTCAGTCTGAATCTGAATCTCAGAAACCAAACGTTCATTAGCATCCTCAGCACTCGATACACAGTGATCTGAACAGTAACGATGGCGTGTGTGTTTTACAGTATCAATCACATCAAACTGGATTTGCTTTGGCACCAGAAAACAGCGTCTTCTCGAAATGAACAACTTATAACATTCATCTGCGCTTCGATCTTGAACATCGCAGAGCTTTTACATTCACAAACAGCTCTATTACACACTGCATGAAAGATTATATCTGAACAAGAATAGTAGGCGAACAAAAGGCTGCATTTACACTGCAAGGCCTTATGAACAGATCCCATGTTTTGATATTATACGTAGTCACAATCCATATTACTTTTCAGTAACTTGATGCCAAAGTACTTTTGACATCCAAAAAATAACTTTTCCATGATATGTATTGCCTGACTGACAGGCAAAATAAGTCTTGACTTCAGCCTAAACCCCTTCGGTCAGGTATTTATTAGCATAAAAAAAAAAAATCCTAATGTTTTTATTTTTTCTGATGTATTTCAATCATCTTTTCCTTTTCTATTTTGTTTCATTGTTTTTTATGTATTTGTTTCTTTTGTATTATGTACAGGATTTTTTTTGCATTACATATGATCTATGACATATGATCTCAAAATGACTGACCGGACAAATACAATACAATACAATACAATATGTCTTTTGGGGGATAGCTGAAAGAGAAGCGACCATTTTTAAGCAATGTTTACATTTTTGCATATCAAACACTTTTTATGGATATGCAAGTAATTTAACCAAAAAACATTGCTTTTTAAGAGCTTTCCTAATTGTTATTTACTGTAAACACACTATATGCATTGACATGTAATAGAATAAAGCAGAATACAAACGAATGGAAACAGATGGAAAGAATCCATTTACCTCCGAGTCTCTGTACGGATGTTCATCTGCATGCGAGTAAATGCGTCATTCTTCCTGTTCAAACGGTCCCGCAGAAATGAGTGGAATATATGAGTGTCTAAAACCTACAAACACACACACACACACACACACACACATGAGTTTGGTACAGAAGCATGAGCTGAGTGTAGAGCTGAATATGAGCATTGATTTACCCTTTTGTAAAACTTGTGATCTGTGGTCTCTCTGGAGCGGAGGAACTCCTCGCTGTTGAAAACACGATGCTCATAGTTCAGGAATTCACACACTTCACTAAAGAAAACAGAAAAAGAGAGACGATGTATTTCAGATCAGCCACAACATCACTGTGCTCAGATACAGGCCGGACAAACTGCAGGATGCTCGAAAATAAAACCTTTATAACGTGGTGTTGTAACTTTTGATCCAGAGTAAATTCTGTAATACGAAGAGCTTAGCCAATCATAACTGAGATCATTTACATATATAAGTTTTAAACGTAGCCTTAATTCTAATATTTTGTCTTAAGGATAACCTCTCAAGAAATTGCTCAGGTCACATTTTGAGACATTTTGATATACTAAATAAATAATATATTATATAATCCGGTTATGGTGATGGTCATTAGATTCTTATTACCATAAAATATATACACTGTATATATATATTATCACGTTGCTTTTTGCAGTCTTTACATGCAGAAACATTTATTGTGTGTTGTATCAGTTTCAGTATTTATATACCATTGTAGTGTTTATTGATATTTTTAATTAGCTTTTAATTTTATATTGTCAGTTTTTATTTTAATATTAGTCAGTTTTAGTAATTTTGGCATGTGATTTTGCCATTTTTATTAATCTTAATATATGTAGCTTAAACATATTTTTATTTAAAATTGAGTAATTTTAGCATTTAAACTTAAACTTATTGGAACAAAATTAAGACTTTGAAAGATATAATATAAATTAGAGCCCGACCGATAAAGGATTTTGAAGGCCGATACCGATACAAATATTTTTGGGTTTTAAAATCCGATATTCCGATATATCGGCCGATATTTTATTTATTTATTTATTTTTTTAAACTGGACATGATAGTCACAAATTTTGTCATGCTTATTTGAGTTTAGAGAACAGATGGGGATGTTCTTTTAATTGTTATTCAAGCAATGTATGTCTCGTGACCAACTCAACGAGTGTTGCCAACAGGAACGGTGTAGAGCGCCCTCTGGTGGACAAACTATACAACTCCAACACTCGTGACATGGTTCAAGCGTGTTTCGTCCGTTTTTATTTTATTGTTGAAATATTCATTTGTCGGCCATTATAACTGCGATACCGATAGTTTGGAAAATGCCTAATATCGGCCGATAATATCGGTCTGCCGATATATCGGTCTGGCTCTAATATAAATGACACTAAAATCAGAAGTGCTGCGCTCCAGACCTGAAGATGTTGACGATGAGCTCCATGCTGACGTTCAGGATGACGCTGTTGACTTCGTGTTGCCACCGTCTCCTGTGAGCGCGCAGCTCGTGGATGTCCGTTCGGCTGCCGGCGTGACACAGATCCAGATCATAGTGAAGCTGAAGCGAACTGGCTCTACAGAAACACACAAAACACCCTTAAACTGAAGAAACCGCACGCGATCTGAACCCTGCAGCTGATGTTTTAGAGGACTGTTTATTTGGCACAATTATGTTCATTACAAGCGATTAACTTAATTGTGTCTCTGGGCTCCTTTGAGTTTGAAGCTTTGTACACAGCAGGATCAGGTTCAACAGAGAGCGTAAAATCCAGTAATCACCTCCAACTAAAAAATTGAAAACATAACACACTTCATCTATGTCTTTGTATTCCATGATACACTTTCTTCTAATTCTGATTGACGCCTCTAGCGGATTTAAAGCAAGCGTTAAAATTGATCTAGTGACAGTAAAGACATTTATAATGTTACAAACGATAATATTTCAAATAAACGCTGTTTTTTAACTTTCTATTCATCAAATGTATCATAGTTTCCACAATAATATGAACTATTTTCAACATTGATAATAATCAGAAATGGTTCTTGAGCAGCAAATCCTATGAAAAAGTTATGGAAGTTATAATTTAGAGTAAATCAAATATACTTTATTAATATATTTTTTTAATATGAAATATATATTTTACAAAATATGTTTAACTATAAAATGAAAGCTATATATCTGACCAAGTTGTGTTCCAAATTTGAAGTTGATATCACAAAAATTGAAGTTGCCATGAGATTTTGTTTAGGCGTTATACCAAAAATAGCCACCGGGTGCCATTGAATTCCATTGAATTTAATTGTATGCATTTTGCCATTAAACAAATGAATACATTTCTATCCAAATATCATATTAGAGTGATTTCTGAAGGATCGTGTGACACTGAAGACTGGAGTAATGCTGCTGAAAATTCAGCTTTGATCACAGGAATCAATTACAGTTTACTATATATTCACATAGATTTTAAATTGCAATAATATTTCACAATATTACAGTTTTTACTGTATTTTATGATCAAATAAACTGACCCCAAAGATCTGAACGACACGATATGAGAAGTTTCTTACCGGTATATAAAACAATCTCTGGCTGCCAGTGGCACATCTGGAAGATTAAGTCTGTCTGAGCTTGAAGACGACACCGTTCCTTGGTCAATGTCTATAAGAACCAGATCATCAATCTCCTGTAAAAAAGGCACAGGATTCTGTCATCAACTGAGAAATGAGCCAATAATGTCAACAATGGCACTAGATCAGTGGCTCTGCAAACGTCCAATGAGGTCTGAAGATGACTTAGAATGAGACAAAACAAGGATTAAAAAGCTTTATATAAATGTATAATTCAGTAATACTTGAATAAAGGGTGATGTCGTCAATTTTCCCAGGCTGGACATCACTTTATATAAATATGCATATATTTGTTATATGTTATTATCCCTTATCCAGTAAATCATGAACAACAGAAAATGTCATGCAAAACATTTACAAATGCAATTAAACCAAGTGGGATGTGAAGCGGTGTGTACCTCCGCGACCTCCTGGAAGTGGTGTGTGTGGCAGCCCATCAGGTAGGCCGTGGGAGCCATGATGAAGTCCAGCATTTGGCAGGACAGGACGGGTACGAACGGATGCTGCCAGCGCAGCGGGTGGATGTAGATCATGAAGCATTCGGCGACGAGCGTGAGTTTGGCCCAGTCGGTGGACAGGAACACCAGCCTCTGCTCCATCAGGATACAGCCGATGATCTGGAGGAACACAACCATCCAGAGGTCAATGCAGAAATGACCAGCGCCAGTTCACATTCTGACTCGGGTTTATAGACCATTTTGAAAGATGTAAACAACACTGGTCCAGAAGTTTTAACACTACATAAAAGCTGGGATAAAATACAACCAACAGAACATTTAAAACTGAATCAAAAAGTTAAAGAAACATCTTTAAGATGTTTTCTTTACATGTGAAATAAAGAAAACAGTTACAAACTGAAACAGGAAGTGTTTCTGGACCAGTGTTTACATCTTGCAAAATGGTCTTGTAAAAAAATGCTTCAAAAATGACTTATGTTATGCAAGTATTATTTAAATACTTTAATAGTTTTTATTAGGGATGCACCGATATGACAATTTTGGCCGATACCGATAACCGATAATTCTTTACATTTGAAAGCCGATAACCGATATATTGGCAGATAAATCTAAATCCAAATTTTTAGACACTTTTTGAGAGCCTGATTATAAAAAAAAAAAAAGGCTACTCATTAAAAGCCAAGATACAAACACAATTATGATGTTTTTATTTTAATGTTGTGTAGCCGATATGACAGACTTGGGCTGCGCATTTTACAATTTAACTGGATTTTCCTTTTTAAAAGTGATTTCAATCGTATTTCAAGCAATTTAAAAGCATCATGTTGAACAGTGCGCATCTAAAGTGCCTCAGCTGAAGGAAATAATACATTATTTATCAGCTTTTAGATATCGGCTAAACGTTCTTGTTGGGCCGATAACGATAACATTAAAAATGATCATATATCGGCCGATACCGATAATGTGGCCGATATATATCGTGCATCCCTAGTTTTTATGAATATATCAAATTAGCTTTATATTTTTAGTTATTTTAATTTTAGTTTATTAATTCATATTTTTGTGCTTATTGTATTAAATATGAGTATTTCGGTTTAAATTGTTTTTATTTCAGTTTTAGTTTAGTTATAGTTTTTATTGATTTCCAGTTGCTTCAACCTAAACTAATTTCCGTTTTGTTTTAAGTTTTTTGCCCACGCACGCAACATTTCTAATTTTCATTTAGTTTAAATTCCCCCTGTTGTCAACAATTGCGTCCCTTAAAACGAATTTTTGATCTAATTTAAACGATTTTGTCCTTGAAAAAACATTTGCCATGCCTTAAAACCGCTTGAATGTAACTCGACACCGTTGCCTCATTTATATGCGCGGTTCTATGAATATGCAAATGAGCCCCGCCTCCACTCACTCACTCAGCTCAGAGATCCACTGGTTGACGATCACACGTTGATCTGATGTCTGATGACGTCAGAAACACCAGCGATTTCAAATTGTGTTTTTGGTTCACTGCAGTTTTATGAATTTATGAATTTACACATGGTTTGTCTCAAAGCATATTAAAAACACCAAATAGTCACATAAACTTTTCACCACAGAGGGACTTTAAGTCTTTATTTTAATTAACAAAAAATGCATTTAATAGTTTTATTTAACGATAATAGCACCGACTGACCTGCAGGATCTGCTTGGGTTTGAAACACAGAAACGGCAGGTGAAGATCGAGGTCCAACACGGGCCGATCCACATCCAGTCTGGAGGGAAGTTCAATCTGAAGGGGTCTGAGATTAAACACCTGCAGAAACATCCACAAAACACAACATTGAAGTACAGTAGGTGACTGGAAAGAGCTTCCCAACAGGACGGTCAGGGAATAAAGAGTTAATAAAGAGGCTGACCACATGCAGGGGTCCGGGAGGCGGGATGGGAACCAGGGCCAGTTTGGCGGAAAACTCCTTCACCTGCTCTTCAAACTCGGTCATGCGGGAGGTCTTCAGCTGGAGCAAGAAACTACGGCGGCGGAGAGATGAAATGCTTACGGTTTATACTTCACATCATGTTCCAGCTAAATAATCATATGGATTAGGGTCTTACCAGGACAGACAGTCTCTGAGGGCATTATAATATGGATATTTGGAGATGACACATATGCTGTATGTGGTGTACAGACGCTGCAGTTTGGTCGACTGATTTTTATGCATCATATTATCCTGTTGGAACTACAATAACACAACAAAGGAATTAGCGACTGCATTTTGGAAACTTTTTATATAGGAATTTCATAAAAACAAATTTTTCACATAATATTATACAGTATGTAATTTTATTTATTTGTGTAGTTTTTATTTGTCAAGATTTATATTTTTTTTTTTTCTATATATTATATATATATATATTTCTATATTCTATATATTTGTTTTCTTTTTTCTATATATATATATATATATATATATCTTCTATATATTTTTTTAATTTAATAAAAACACATTTTTCACATAATATTATACAGTATGTAATTTTATTTGTGTCCACACTAAAATTCAATATATTCATATATATTTTTTCTTTCTATATATTAAATACTATATACATACTATATTTTTTTTTCTTTCTATCTATCTATATATATATTTATATATTCTATATATTCTGTATATAATATAGAAATATATATATAGAAATATATATATATAGCATATATATATATGAAGAGTTCAGATGCAAAAGCCTCTAAGTGCCATTTGAAATTTTCTTCTAGAATGATCATTTTTATCAAACTTGTATATTTAAGTTCAGTGATTTCACTTAAATGGCAATGATAATTACTTATTAATTGTTATTTAAGTGAAATTACTGAACTTAAATATACAAGTTTGATAAAAATCATCATTAAAGAAGAAAATTTCAAATGGCATTTAAAGGCTTTTGCATCTGAACTCTTCATATATATATTTCTATATTCTATGTATATATATATATATATATATATATATATATATATATATATATATATATATATATTCTATTCATCAAATAAGCCTGAAATATATTAATCATGTTTTTTTTTAATGGAGCAGCACAACTGTTTGCAACACTGATAATAAACATAAATGTTTTCTGAGCATCTTATCATCATATTAGAGTGATTTCTGAAGAATCATGTGACACTGAAGACTGAAAATTCAGCTTTGATCACAGGAATAAATTACTATAGATATTTTAAACTGTAATCATATTTTACTGTTTTTACAGTACTGTTTAAATACAAAAATGCAGCCTTCAAACAAACTGTACCTATGTATTTAAATCCTTTTTACTTGTATCTTACATAAAATTTTTACGGATGTTCATGTATTTATTTTGTTTTTGACCGTGTGTGGTAATGTGATGATGTGTGAAATGTGATGTGTGACTGTACTGCAAACAAAATCTACCTTCGGGTATAAATAAAGTAACTTGAACTTGAACTTGAACTTGTTGAGCAAAAAACATTACATCACAGTTCAGAATATATTTGAAGAATTGAAACCTCTTTCATGTTTGTTTATGAACTATCTAGACAAAATTGATATGCTAGCAATCCATCAGAGTGTGTTTATGATCCCTCCTCACCTGGATAGGTTTGCAGAACTGAGCCACCACCCCATGAGTCTGGGTCCCGAACACATCCGTGAACACCAGGAAGTGATAGGAGTCTCCTCCGCACTCATTGGTTATTCTCAAACCACCTGACCAATGACAGACTCAGTTAGCATCACCGTTAGGCACAGAATCCCGCGAGGAGACGTTTGCGAAGGTTACCTGGGAAGCAGAGCTGCTGCAGGGCTATGAGGTCGATGTTCTGCGGTACGCTGAGATCGTCTGAGACGGGGACTGCCGATTCGCTGAGTTTGCCGGATTCGCTGATGGTTGAAACGGGTCGGTCCCTCTTCTTGAAGGAGCGTCTCCGCTGGGCTCTGCTGAAGGCCAGAGCGTGATCCTGATTAACACCGTTACTGGAACTGTCCTTCGTCACAAACGGTGGAGCGTGAACCTGCAGCACCTCAGCCTCCACCAGCACATCTTTACCCTGCACACACACAACATACACTAAACTAACATCAATACATCATTAAACGGAAAATCACATTAAGAACAAAAATAAAACATGATTTCATTGTTAAAATCAATAATATGTAGAATACATTTTCTATCAGAGACGTCTATTTGATGTGTGTGTTTACATCTGGAAGACGTGTTTGCTCGTCTGCAATACGTCAGATGTCAAATAGACGCTTAGAAGATGTCTTTAAGATGCAGATGCTTTCCAGATGAAGTGATCTTTAACAGATATCTTGCAGACATATGTGTGCTATATAATATACATAATATATGTATAGTATATCAATATATATATAATATAACATTTTATTATCATTATAAATTAAATATAATTTATTTTATTTTTAATTATTGAAATTTCATGCATATGTATACATACATGCATAAATTTAATTTTTTTTAATTATTATGAATAATTTATTTGAAAAAAAAATGCATATTTTAAAAAGAAAGAAAATATTTATATACTAGCCTATTTAAATGCTAGAAAATGTACTTTACAAATTTTTCATGTTTACAATGAAATCACATTTTATTTGTATTTCTTATGCATTATTCCATCAAGATTACATATAGCTAGCACAACAAATGAATTTGGAAACTATTAAATGAATTTGGAAATATTTTGCATGGGTGTATATTCGGATGCAAAAGCCTCTAAGCGATCCCTATGACAATTAATATGTAATCTTCATTGCAATTAAAGTGAAATTACTGAACTTAAATATACAAGCTTGATAAAATGATCATTCTAGAAGAAAATTTCAAATGGCACTTAGAGGCTTTTGCATCTGAACTCTTCATATACACACACACACAAACTTATTTAACATTTTGCAAATCATAATTTGTAATCGTAATTATTAATACAGTTTCTTCCTCAACATTCTGCACAGAATAAATGTGAATATGAAGATTTGCCGATGTCTCACTAGGCATAACTCCTTCAGGCGTTCGTTTGATACTCCGGCCACCACACACGCCTCCAGTAGACCAGACGGGCTTTTATCCGCCATCAGAACCGGTTCTGTGCGCGCATGCAGTGCGGTCACTCTTCAGTCGTCCGGTCCATGGCGGTTCGCCAACTTCAACTCTCCGTCTGTTCAAGTGGTCACAATGAATTCAGTTCATGCTTCACCAGGCATGTTTAGCATCCCTGACTGAGAAACAAATTAGTTTTATCTCCGTATTTCAGAGTGAAACAGACTAGATTCTCTCCAATGAATGGTAATAAGAGAATATTTTAGCATTAAAACCTTAAAGGGATAGTTCACTTTGAAATACATCTTTTGGTATGTTTTATCTTACCTCAAGGGCATCCAAGATGTAGGTGTCTTTATTTCCACAGTAGTTTCAATTTTGATAATTTTAGGTCAAACCGTTCTTGTCTGTCAGTCATATAATGGAGGTCTATGGTCACCACCTCAAAGAGCATGCACAGAGAAGTCCAAATTAAACATGATTTAATGACTCGTTTCGTGTCTTAGGTCATCAATGTGTACTTTCATTTACGAGTCATTAAATCAATTTGGACTTCTCTGTGCATGCTCTTTGAGGTGGTGACCATAGACCTCCATTATATGACTGACAGACAAGAACGGTTTGACCTAAAAAGCTCCAAATTGAAACTACTGTGGAAACAAAGACACCTACATCTTGGATGCCCTTGAGGTAAGATAAAACATACCAAAAGATGTATTTCAAAGTGAACTATCCCTTTAATTAGATAACATAGTCTGGTTGTCCTCACGTGAATGCGATGGATCTCTCCCAGTGTCAACATCTGCTTCTAATCCGAATCTGGATCAAGTTCAGACTATACTAGAACTGAATATGAAACCATGACATTTTACAGAGTTGAAGCATCTACTGTACGACTGTTAATGTAAATACACAATAGATGCTTTAGTCGCTCTGAGGCAATGCAACACAGACCCGGGTCTTCGTGGCTCCTGAGTCACAGTGACAGAGAAGGCATTCATACCGCTGGAGTGAGTTTGACAGAGACGTCAAACCAGTTGGGAAAAACCAAGAAAAGTGAGGTTTGTCATTCCTGAACACATACCTCCTTCTGTGCAGATAAACTTCATCGAAAACTTCTTCAAACAACACCGCTATAAACTATCTATTATATATGACCCCTTTTTATGAATTAGAAAACCATGACATGCGTAATATATTGGCTACAAGTAATTAGTGATTAACTATCAAGTAATTTTATGTAATTTAAAGTTTTTGGTAACACTTTACAATAAGGTTTCATTAAGAAATGAACTAATAATGAACTGCACTTCTACAGCATTTATGTTAATTTCAACATTTACTAATACATTTTCAAAATTAAAAATGTTTTATTTGTTAACATTAGTTAATGCTCTGTGAACTAATGTGAAAATTTGTATTTTATTAACTAATGTTAATAAAAATTAACAAATATTAGTCAAATATTAGTACAATTTAAAGTGGCTGTTTTCTAAGTGAATATATAGTAAAATGTAATTTATTTCTGTGATCAAAGCTGAATTATCAGCATCATTACTCCAGTCACATGATTCTTCAGAAATCATATAATGTATGTAAACAACTTATATACAACTGTGTGTGTGTACATAACCTAAAATCTTAAAACTGATATTGGACATCCAACTAAAAACAGTAAAAATAATAATAATAATAAAAAAATAGTAATACACAAAATCATATGTTAATCTACATATGCTGTTCCTACAGTTAGTAGCGGCAGGTTTTGTTGAATCTGTGAGATTTCATGCACTACTTCACATCTGCTCTCGTTCACGAGCGAAACTGAAGAAAAAACACCGAACTTTAATCTGTTGGTTACAATAAATGTTGCATGTGATGCATGTATAAATTACATGACTGGTGGTGTGTACGTTACGAGCATTCAAAGTAACGCAAAATATTCGGTAAAGATTCAATAAAGATTAAACAAACCTTCAAGTGTGTCCGCTGCGACTTCCAGTCAGAAAGTGTGTCAAATTCAATCAATGGTCGTGAAAGAATAAAGCGAAAGTGCTGATGTAGTTCATAATCTGTCACAGAACACGCCTCATTATAAACATAAGGCGGGATAAAGTTTCGGCCTGACCCGTCAAACTCTCTCTGAAAGATGTGAAGCCCACAGTCAGCTATGACTCTGAATCTGACCCGAATGACCAAACAATACTGAGCTCATGAATATTAATTAGTAATCCTGGCGTTGCTTGGTAATTTTTGAAAGCGTCCATTTAGGTGACCTAATTAATATTCATAAGATATGTCGTCGCCCACCTTTCGGCCAATCAGGTCGAACGTCACCTTACGTCATTAACATGCCAAGCACGAGCAGAAAAAAAAACAACATTTGTTGGAACAAACCTCCAAATCCTCTCCGCAATACCTCGCAAACTTTATAAAGCACATCTAAATTACGATTTTTTTATTGGACTAAGATGAATGAAGATAGTAAGACATTTTATTTGTATAAACTCTTGACTTAACGTTACCACGTTCACGCGCATCTGCTTTAAAATCGAAGATACAAAAACTTTTTTCTTTTGATATTTTTACAGCAACATGGTATATGACTATGGGAATAAAATATTACTATGGTCTATTTTAAAATATGTACACTAGCTATATAATATTAATATCGGGTATTGTCAGGGAAGTCTTCAAAAATAAGATTTTATTGCAGGCAAAGAAAGGTAATTACACTAAATGACGTAGTAAACAAGCAATAGAAAGCTTGTAATGATATTATACAGGAAAACGAAATAAAACACAAATAATATCAGTGAGAAACAGATCATTTTATTTAGATTCTCTCTTGTAAAAACGTTTCATTCAAACGTACCAGCTTGTTTTCTTGTAGTTCTACGACATCAAAACGATAAAACGAGCATTATTACAAAATAAAAAAATAAAAGTCACGTTTCTTCACACATAATATTAACACTTCAAAACACAATTCTTTAAAACATAAAACACATATTAGCCCCAAAAAGAGGAGAAAAAAAAATCGCCAAAATGCAGAAGGTACAACTGTTTCCTAAAAATGGAAGTTCTTCTGCGACGTGGAAATCTGAACATCAGCCTTCTTCCTGGAAGATGGAAGTTACAACTCAAAAGATCACAATAATCTGAGCGCAAAGACAAAATCAGTCTTATCTCAACAATAAACGTTTGAACCTGATTGGTTTGATTTTTCGCGCTAAAAACACAAACCTAATCAGTTGAATATGTAACACAGCTAAAATCTCGGCTGTCTCATCACATCCGTCCATGGGCCGAGGACGAGGACGAAGACGCTGAGTTCATGTCCTCCTCGTTGGCGCCGCACGTGTCCACGAGACAGATCAGACAGCTGGTGACAGGGAAGGCGCGCACTTTACTGGACACGACCCACTTGTCCGTCTCCGTGTAATACTCCATGATGTGACCCAGACGACCGACCCCCTGAAACCCGGCCAGAACGTAGATCACTGAACCCACGGCCGCACACTTCACCGTCACACCCCTCCACGGCATCGGAGACGCCATCTTCCACTCGTTGCTGCCCATCTCGTAGTACTCCACCGAGTCCAGGCCACCTGAAACACATGACCTCTGACCTTCAGTGACCTACGATCAGCTGTGTCCCAATTGACACACTATACACTATGTACTCAACCGTGTAGTGTATGAACTTTATACGTTTATTTTTGTATTTCAACATCGGAAGTGTCCAAAGCATTTTAGCAAATATTAGCAGGGGAAGTAAACTTATGAACACAAAAACATACCCAGTGTGTTCTGTCCGCCGACGGCGTATATTCTTGAGTTCACCACCACCAGACCGTGATTCTTACGAGCCTCGCGCATCCCACAGAGACCCCTCCACCTGAACACACACACACACACGCTTAAAGAAACACATTTCTGCAGAAGACCTCAAACTCTTATATTTGATTTACCTCCTGACCTGTTGCATTCGGTCTTTGCAATTGGATTAAGACTAACAAAATATACCTTTTATTTATTTATTTATAATTTTTTAAGAGATATAACACTTTAAACTCAATGGTTATTCCTTTTTAATTCAAAATATTTCCAATAATTTAAAAACACATTTGCACATTCGTGGATGTCATTAAATGATTAAATGACATGCATTTAATCAAATCAAATATTTAATCTTTAAAATTATTTATTTATTTTAATTTGACATTTTTATGATTTAATTCATTATTAGCTTTTTTTTTTTTAATCAACTCACAAATCTCAGTTTTGGAAACCCTGATATAGAATATAGACAACTCATATATTGACCCACACAGATCATATTTTTATTGTACTTTTATAGCCTTTTGTGTCACTTTTTAGTGGTTGACAGCCCATTTATAGAAACGTATAGGAAAGAGCTTTTTTTTTTTTTTCAAGAGCATTTTTTGATTACTTGAATATTGAAAATTAAATAAAATATCAATATTAGATGAAAAACATTAATTAACAGCAATAAGATTTAAATGGAAGATCTAAAATAACTTCTGCTTACTAAAAAAAACTAAAACCAATATAAAAATAAACTAAAGCTAAATACAAATATATTTGAGACGAGAGTTGGCTAACGATGCTTTCGGGAAACGCACCCCAGGTTTGGAACAACTTGAGGGTGAGTGAGTAAATAATGACAGAATTGTCATTTTTGTGTGAACTGTCCCTTTAAATGTCCCCTGTGAGTGTGAGGTGTCATACGCACTCTTCGGTGTTGGGGTCGTACACCTCGCAGTCGTTGAGGACCCTGCCGGACACGTTGTTTCCCAGACTTCCTCCGCAGACGTAGATGAGCCCGTTGGCCTCGACTGACCCGTGACTGCAGCGCGGCATCAGCATGTTGGGCTTCGTCTGCCACGTCTCAGTGCGCGTGTCGTAGCACTCGAACAGATTCAGAGCTGAACTTCCTATCAACGACATAAAGGTTTAGAGTATGTTTTTGTAGTTTTTTTGTTTTTTTTGTACATTTTTTACTTCTGTTTTGTAGTTCCTACTTCTTTTTGTAGTTTATCCATTCATTATCCATCCATCCGTCATCCATCCATCCATCTTTCTATCTGTTCATCCATCCATCCATCATCCATCCATCGTTCTATCTGTTCTTCCATCCATCCATCCACCATCATCCATCCATCCATCCATCCATTCATCCATCGTTTCTATCTGTTCATCCATCCATCCATCCCCACCCATCATCCATCCATCCATCCACTCATCATCCATCCATCCATCCATCATTCTATCTGTTCATCCATCCATCCATCCACCCATCATCCATCCATCCATCCATCCACTCATCATCCATCCATCCATCCATCCATCGTTCTATCTGTTCATCCATCCATCCACTCATCATCCATCCATCCATCCATCTTTCTATCTGTTCATCCATCCATTCATGCCCCCGCATAAACCCGTCAAACCCAAACCCACCGGACGATGAGGACCGACTCACCCACTTCCGATCCTCCGGAGGTGTAGATCTTCCCTTTGGAGGCGCAGGCGGCCAGACTGTCGCGTGGGTTCGGTGGCCCGAGTTTGGAGTACCAGCTGTCCTTCACCACGTTATAGCAGTCCATGCGTTTGATGGGGAAGAGCTGCGAGCCGCCCAGGATGTAGACCACATTGTCCCAGAACACGGATGTGGCGTCCCGTCGTTTCTCAAAGGGGCAGCGAATGTCTGTCCAGCTGTAGTCCTGAAACACACACACACACAGATCACACACTCTGTGACACCCCAGCGGTTTGTTGAGATTGCAGGATTTAAAAATAAATGTAATAAAGAATAATGTAAAAATATATATATATTTATTATTATATTTATCACTTTGGGGTTTTATTTAATTTCAATATTTCATTGCAAAAACAAATATAAATTGCAAAAAAATATATTTCTCTGTGTAAAATGTTCTCGGTTTTAACTCTGTGTAAAAGCAAACACTTTACTCAGTTTGTGATTGCCAGATAAGGATTAAAAAACTTTATATAAACTTAGATTACTTGAGCTAAAAAATGTACATTCATTATAATTTTCATGACTTTTTTTATTTATTTTTTTTTACATTTTATTATTTTAATATTTTTTATTGAAAAAGAAACCCTCCATAATCATTGATCTTAGTCCTAGTTGTTTGTGATTGCAGGATAAGCATTTTTTAAGGATCTTTATATAGAGACTTTGATTACATAAAATGAAAACATTGTATGTATTACTATTTTAATTACTTTATGGGTTTATTTACTCTTTTATTTTAATATTTTTATAAATGAATTTAATATAAATGAAATATATTTAAAAAAATATAGAGAGACTTTAATTTTCATAAAGCGGAACATTTATATCTATGAAAGATTTCTAAAATTGTATTTATTTAGTCATTTTAATATTTATCACAAAATAAGCCCACCACCAATTATTTTAAAATATTTTATTTTACATTACAGTTCCTGTGATCAGTGTGAGGCTCAGTACCTTCGGGTTGAAGTAACGGCAGGACTGCGGCTGCGAGCCTCCGAACAGAGCGATGCGATAGTCGTGTTTCTTGCGGCGCGGTCGACTACTCTCACCGAGCTCCTCACGGTCCTCTGGAGACAGGAGATGATAACGCATCCCACCTTAGGACACACACACACACACACACACACAGTGGCAGCTCTGCTTTACAGAAGGAAGATCCTCAAGGACTACATTTAGATGATAAAAACATGGAATTATTAAACAAATATTTATAAAAAAAAATGTATAAAAGATTTTATGAAATTATTTATGGATGGATTGAATGATGAATGGAGAGATGAACAGATAGAATGATAGATGGATGAACAGATAGAACGATGGATGGATGGATGGATGGATTAACAGATAGAACGATGGATGGATGGATGATAAATGGATGGATGGATTAATGATGCATGGATAAATGGATGGATAAAACAATAGAATGATGGCTGGATAGATTGATAGAATGATGGATGGATGGATGGATGGATGGATGGATGGATGGATGGATGGATGGATGGATGGATGGATGGATGGATGGATGGATGGATAGATAGATAGATAGATAGATAGATAGATAGATAGATAGATAGATAGATAGATAGATAGATAGATAGATAGATAGATGGATGGTTGGATGGACAGACAGAAGGATGGATGGGTGGATAAAAAAATAGAATGATGGCTGGATAGATTGATGGAACGATAGAATGGTAGATGAATGGATGGATGGATGGACAGACAGAAGGATGGATGGATGGATGAATGGATGGAACAATGGATGGATGAACAGATAGAATGATAGATGAATGGATGGATAAAACAATAGAATGATGGAATGATAGAATGATGGATGGATGGTTGGTTGGATGGATGAACAGATAGAAGGATGGATGGATGGATGGACGAACAGATAGAACGATGGATGGATGAACAGATAGAATGATGACGATAGAATGATGGATGGATGGATGGATGGATAAAGAGATAGAATGATGGATGGATGGATGCATGATAGATAGATAGATGGATGGTTTGTTGGATGAATGGACAGACAGAAGGATGGATGGATGGATGAATGGATGGATGGATAAAGAGATAGAATGATGGATGGATGAACAGATAGAACGATGGATGGATGGATGGATGAACAGATAGATGGATGGATGGATGATGGATGGATGGATGGATGGATGGATGGATGGATGGATGGTTGGATGGATGGATGGATGGATGGATGGATGGATGGATGGATGGATGAACAGATAGACCAATGGATGGATGGATGATGGATGATGGATGGATGGATGGATGGATGGATGGTTGGATGGATGGATGGATGGATGGTTGGATGGATGGATGGATGGATGGATGGATGGATGGATGGATGGATGGATGGATGGATGGATGGATGGATGGATGGATGGATGGATGGATGGATGGATGGATGGATGGATGGATGGATGGATGGATGGATGGATGGATAGATAGATAGATAGATAGATAGATAGATAGATAGATAGATAGATAGATAGATAGATAGATGGATGGATGGTTGGATGGATGAACAGATAGAACGATGGATGGCTAGAATGTGTGGTGACTCACAGATGACCATCTTCAGGCACTCGGGGTTGTCCTGGATCAGCGGTTCTGCTTGAACAGTTTTACTGAGGAAGTTTTTGGAGACGAGAGGAAACCGAACCTTCCCCAGAATGTCTACGATGAACTGCTGCCGATTCAACACGTCGTACTTCAGCCAGCGCACCGCGGCGTCGTAAATCTGCACACACACACACACAGTATAACTCACGCCAGTGTAACCCTGCTCACGACCCAGCGTCCCGCGACCTCTGACCTGATCTTCGGCTCGGACCGTGAGCGTGTCCTGCTGGAGAAGGTGTGTGACCTGCGTAACGTCCAGCTGCAGGAACTCGTCCATCTTATACACATCTGTGAAGTGCTGGTGTATGAAGTCATCGGCCGACACCTTCAGCTCGGGGCAGTTCAGACACTCGGCCAATGAGCTGATGCCTTGCGGAAGAGACAGCCAATCACAACAGCACGTATATCTGCAGACGCACAATACTTCACACTGACTGTTCACTTTCGACCAGTGTTGACATTCTTAAATGTAAATTTTTTAATTTTTGTACCTCTACGCTTTTTATCTTGGCCAGGTCTCCATTGTAAATGAGAAAATGTGCTTACCTGGTTAAATAAAGGTTAAATGAAAAGAGAGAGAGAGAGAGAGATGGCGACGTCTCACCCAGACAATTGGTGGCGTCCACCTGCTCCTTCAGGAACTCCACACACATCTTCTTCACCGGCTCGATCTGGTACTGGTTAGCAGCGTTCAGCAGAGACTGGACATTATTACTGTTCACTGAGATTCTGAGATCAAACACACACATGCTAAAGCTGACTAAACAGAGGAATAAAACCATCTTTTGGAAATTGATCTTAAAGGAGTAGTTCACTTTTAAAAAAACTTTTGCTGATAATTTACTCACCCCCATGTGATCCAAGATGTCCATGTCTTTCTTTCTTCAGTCGAAAAGAAATTAAGGTTTTTGATGAAAACATTCCAGGATTTTTCTCCATATAATGGACTTCAATGGGGACCAAACGGTTCAAGGTCCAAATGAGAGTTTCAGTGCAGCTTCAAAGGACTTTAAACGACACCAGACGATGAATAAGGGTCTTATCAAGCGAAACGATCGCTCATTTAATAAATAAATAACAAAGTTTAAGTTTTATAAGCTCAAATGCTCGCCTTGCTCTGTTCTGTGATGAGCGTTCGTGACTCTCCTGTTCGAACTCGTTCATCAAAACGAACAAATCTTTTTTCGAGTCATGACTCAAAGGGTCCTAAATAAGACCCTTATTCATCGTCTGGTGTCATTTAAAGCGGCACTGAAACTCTCATTTGGACCTTAAACCATTTGGTCCCCATTGAAATCCATTATATTGAGAAAAATCCTGGAATGTTTTAATCAAAAACCTTAATTTCTTTTCGACTGAAGAAAGAAAGACATGGACATCTTGGATGACATGGGGGTGAGTAAATTATCAGCAAAAGTTTTTTTTTTAAGTGAACTACTCCTTTAAGATCAATTTCCAAAAGATGATTTTTATTCCTCTTTTCAGTCAACTTTAGCATGGTGTGTTCACTTAGTGTGTGTGTGTGTGTGTGGTCAGCCTCACCGTGCCGTGTAGACGAACTCCACCAGCAGCTCGATGATCTCTGGCTCCGCTCCTCCGAGCTCCACCTCGTGATTCGTTGACTCCATCATACTGGCTGCACATGCAAAACATCAAGGGTCAAAATTAGAATATTGTGAAAAGGTTTTCATATCTTTAAGCCATAATCAAAATTACAGCACATAAAGGCTTGAAATATCTCATTTCGCATGTAATGAGTCTATATAATATATTAGTTTCACCTTTTAAGTTGAATTACGGAAATAAATGAACTTTTGCACAATATTCGAAAGTTTTCTCACATGTGAACATGAGGTTGAAGAAGTGGCTCGCGGCGGCCAGCACGACTCTGTGTGCCAGTATGTGTTTCCCATCCACAACCAGGACCACATCACAGAGGATTCCCTGAGCACAGGTCAAAGGTCACCCAGTGCATTAGACACAATACATGCACAGGCATGCATACATATCACTTTAAATGTTTAATATCTAAAATTGTCCATTTATCCCATTACAATCATTCTATACTGTCTATTGTATGTTCTAATCTAATGAATATAACTAAAAATAATAATACTAATAAATTAATAAATATGTTTATGTATATTGAAAATATCAGTAATAATAACAAACACAAATAGTTATTTTGTGATTAATATAAAATAAAAAAGAGAAATAGAAATGAAACAGACATGATAATAACAATTAATTTCAAGACTAATATTTTAAACAAATATATGTAAATGATAAAAATTAAATAAAGTCAACAACAAATTTACCTGTAATCAATTTTCAGTTTATTGTAAGACATTTACTATGTAAAGATATCCCATATTTTATTATGTATAGGCTATATATTAGATATATCAGATTATATGATGCATATGTAAGATCTCAGAATATATGACGCATATATGATGAATATATGTCAGGTTATGTCATGCATATGTCAGATATCTGATGATATTTACCTGTTTCCTCAAGTTATTCATCACTCCCATGATATTGGACAGTAATCTGTACTCCTCTTTGGATGCTATCTTCTTCTCGTTTTTCTTTTTGGGTCCTAATGTCTTCTCGCATGGTGTGGCGGCCATGGTCAGCATGCTTTATTGTGTATATGACTAGAACGTTTATTTAATAAACGGTGAGCTTTTGTTTTTTAATAAACCGTGCAGCTCTGCATGTAAACATTGAAGGTAGGAATGATGTGAAGGAAGCGACTGGATTAGACGATGGCCGTCTGCGAATGGATGCAATAAAAGTCCGTTTCAATTTACAAAAAAAAAAAAAAGGACTATATATTTATGGCTCTTTTACTGTAATCTTCAAACAGAAGATTTTCTTTTCAGCCTGTTTGAGTATTTTAAGCACACCAATAGTTTAGGGAAACGTTTATTTTATAAGGATGTATTTTCATGTTTGTGTAGGTTTTCAGCAACAAAAATGATGTGAAGTAAAAACTGCGTGTCAAAATAAAAGTCCCACTTCAGGTTTGACCTCAACCGTTTATTTTATTGTTTTATTTTTATATTTTGGGTATAAATGTATAGATCTTTTGGGAAATGGTTTATGGTTTCTATTACATGATTACAGATCATTTCAATGTAATTATTGGCTTTATTGGTTATAGATCTGCCTATAAATACATCTTATTTTTATTATATCAATTGTTTTGCTTTTGGCTAAACACTACGTTTATTTAAAAGTATTTCTTATTAAGCATTTATTATCTTATTTTTATTAATAAGAGCATGACTTGTTTTTTAAGGGATTAAAATCACCAGTTCACTATGTAAAGTTTTCTATAAGAACGAAATGTGAAAAAAATCAGTCAATGAAATGAATCAATTCATAAAAAATAAAGTCATGATGATAAACTGCACTACAAACACGTAAATGAACACAATATATTATCAATGTCATGTTATGTACACTAGATGTCAGTGTTACTGTTAAACAAGTTTTATATTACAGTAAAATATGTGCATTGGTCAGTATAAAAGTCACATTTACCAGATGTCTAAATTTAAAAGAAATGGTGCTAAAAGTAAAGGAAATTCACGGCTCTTGTTTGACAAACAAATTGGACGTTATTACATTCATATAGTCAAAATAACTAAATTAGGACTGAATTTTTTATTTATGATACTTTTTCTTTTCCTCCAGCACATGTTTTGATTATTTGCGGTGAAACTGAAAGGCCATTCAGGGCCAATTACACAAAATCCAATATTTCTGGGCTTAATGCCTGAGTGCAGACGGCTACTACAGCATTTACATTTATCTTTTGCCTCGGCACAGAGAGTTTTACATGAGAAGACGAGACGTGCCAGGCTCTTGTCTGTGTTTAATGAGGTAGAGGAGCCTGTCTTTGGGTCTTAACAACAAGACCTCTCTGAGGTGGCCTTATTACTGCAACCAAAGCCCGGCCCGCCTTCATTTCTGAAAGCTTTCATTTGAACACCCTGCTGTCTGAGAGGCATTAGTTCTGTCTCCTCGTCCTGTCCAGCGCAGGAGGGATGAACACGTCTGGATGTTGTTCTCGTGACATTTTCAAGTCACATTTGAATGTCATTGCACTGCACAAAATATAAAATACATAAATATAAGGGATGCACGATATATCAGCCACCACATCGATCGGCTGATATATGTTCAAAAATAAATATATATATCACTGAAAAATTCAGGATTATTTCCTTTATAGCTGATACACTTCAGATGAGAGAAGTGCAAGTCTGTCATATCAGCTGCATAAATTATAATGAAAACATTGTTATTGTGTGATTACAGTAAAATGACAATAATAAAATAACAATAAAAATGTAATGCATAAATATTTGCAATATAAAACAGCCTACTTTAAAATATGTAAGCAAACGTGCGGATTTGATCACATTGTCTTTAAAGATGTAGATAAACAAAAAGCAAATGATATGAAGAAAAAAAAGTCATGCACTGTTTCATAAAACCCAATATTTGATAACATTTTGGTCATGCAACCTCCTTCAGACATTTAACCTGATAGGTTTCACAATTGTAGATTGCATTCAAGAGAATTAGCTTTTCTTCTACAGGTTTTTGTCCCTTGAAATTATGCAAATGTATTCAGATTAAATCCTGGAACAACATTTGCACCTTTTGGCAGCCTGTGGATATTCAATCGCTCATGGTCTCTCAAAAAGGCATTGAAAGAGAAAGAGATGGAGAAGAGGACAAAGCAGTTGAAACGACCTGGATCCTGAAGAGGAGGAGAGCGTACTCAGTGTTTTCCCGTCTGTGGGAGAGTCTGTCTGTGTGGTTTGGTGAAGCGCTGCTTTCAACCCTCCGTCGTCCCATTGATTCCCGTCTGTGGGAGTTTTTGTTGTCATCTGCTCTATAAAGGGGTTTTTCCTCCTTATCTTTTTATAAAGTCGATTCCCATTAGGCTGTGAATCATTCCTCAAAAACTGAGATTTTTAGGCTTAAGGTCTAAAGGGCCAAAAAAAAAAAAAAAAACAATGTATGAGGATGGTTGCATAACTTGCAGAACCAGATAGAGGGATGGAAGATAGAATGAAAGAACAGATTGACAGATATACAGAAGGAAATAACAATAGATAGACAGACAGACAGACAGACAGACAGACAGACAGACAGACAGATAGATAGATAGATAGATAGATAGATAGATAGATAGATAGATAGACAGACAGACAGACAGACAGACAGACAGACAGACAGACAGAGAGACAGACAGACAGACAGACAGACAGACAGACAGACAGATAGACAGATAGATAGATAGATAGATAGATAGATAGATAGATAGATAGATAGATAGATAGATAGATAGATAGATAGATAGATAGATAGATAGATAGATAGATAAACAGACAGACAGACAGACAGACAGACAGACAGACAGATAGATAGATAGATAGATAGATAGATAGATAGATAGATAGATAGATAGATAGATAGATAGATAGATAGATAGATAGATAGATAGATAGATAGATAGATAGATAGATAGATAAACAGACAGACAGACAGACAGACAGACAGACAGACAGACAGACAGACAGACAGACAGACAGACAGACAGACAGACAGATAGATAGATAGATAGATAGATAGATAGATAGATAGATAGATAGATAGATAGATAGATAGATAGATAGATAGATAGATAGATAGATAGATAGATAGATAGATAGATAGATAGATAGATAGATAGATAGATAGATAGATAAACAGACAGACAGACAGACAGACAGACAGACAGACAGACAGACAGACAGACAGACAGACAGACAGATAGATAGATAGATAGATAGATAGATAGATAGATAGATAGATAGATAGATAGATAGATAGATAGATAGATAGATAGATAGATAGATAGATAGATAGATAGATAGATAGATAGATAGATAGATAGATAGATAGATAGATAGATAGATAGATAAACAGACAGACAGACAGACAGACAGACCGACAGACCGACAGACAGACAGACAGACAGACAGACAGACAGACAGACAGACAGACAGACAGATAGATAGATAGATAGATAGATAGATAGATAGATAGATAGATAGATAGATAGATAGATAGATAGATAGATAGATAGATAGATAGATAGATAGATTATTGTGCTGGAGTCGCTGTGAGCTGGATCCATTATTTCTGTGTGTGTGTGTGTGTGTGTGTGTGTGTTCCTCACATCACCTCTCCGTCACTGTGCTCGCTGCCAAACTCACACACACGGAAAACTGTGAAAGCCTTTCTCTAACAAGCTGGATCGTATGAAAGCAAACACAACTACAACTTCCATTTACACACTGTAGGCCTACTATCTCCATTCCTAAAGACACCACTGGCTCATTATGAAGGGAGAAATACACAAGATAATAATAATAATAATAAAGTGGCTTTTTATCCACAGACAAAATGATGCAATCTGTTGGTCGAGCGCCACTGTCACAACAGCTTCACATTTCAGTTCCACATGCGACTCCGGCTGAATCTGAAATCGCCAACTATACCCTATAAATAGGGCGTTAAGGGGACAGCCATTTGTCGTGGTGTCTGAAACCATAGTGAACGATATTGAGTGTCCTCATTCAATCCCACAATGCACTGCAATAACGAGTGTACAGCCAATGTACTCTCAACGGCTGTCCGAATCATCTCACTTCACTTTTCATCCACTTCAAGTCAACAGGATTAGTGGACTAACGTAGGGAATAGTGCATGAGGGTTTAGGGGGCGATTTCGGATTCAGCCACAGTTTACCATCATCTAAAGTCAACAAGACACTAAACATTTACTTTCTCAATGGGTTAGTGCACGATTGACTGAAATAACTAAAAAACTTCTGAAATAGCCTAAATATTATTTTTGACAGACATCATCATCAATATTTTGGTCCTCAAACACATTTTAATAATAATATTTGTACATGTTGACCAAACAATGTGTAGGCCGAAGCGTCATTTTACTTAATTATTTTCCAATACTAAAGTACATTGAATCTATAGCCTACTAAAAAATACAAAAACAAAACAGTCAATTAAGAGAATACTTTTAAGACCTTTATATAGTGTGTTTGAGTGTGCGTATATAGACCTACTATATATATATATATATATATATATATATACTGCCCTACAAAGCAAAAAGGCAGTAACTGCAGTTTTGGAAAAGCATTAATTATTACAATTTTTATGACATTCAAGGCATCCCTTGTTATGTGACAAAACATCTTATCTTAAATGTGTCTCGTTTTAGAGAAAAATGGTAGTCGTTTGTACAATAACTGCAAAAAGCCCTAGCAAAAGTCATTTTTCTCAGTTCTGCACTCTGCGTAGTTACTGCCTTTTTGCTTTGTAGGGCAGTATATATATAGGTCATTTTTTCACTCTGAAAGCGGTAAAATGTGTTGCGAATGCCACTCCACAACAGCTTGCTTTGGATAAGACACCATTCAGAATCACATTAATGTCTCAAAAAGCTTCAGTGATTCACATGAAAACACAATGATAGTGAGTCATTTCTTCAGCATAAGAACTATTATTGATGACAAACTCATGCCAGTTGTTGCTCATGCAATGACTCAGTTGTAGTTTTTTGAAGCTCCTTTTATTTTCTCATTTTCTTCTGTTACGCAACGTGACATTTTATTTTTTTTTCTGTATTTCCACTCACAAGATCATCTTCCTGTCTTTGACATTTCACTCTCATCTTTGATACCATGATGTAATGGTGTCATTGGCAGAATACATTATTTTAGTGTTTTTGGAAGTAAGTGTGACTATTACTATGGATGTGATCAAACCTTTAACGATAAGTATTATGTTTGAGTGTGTGCGTTACTCGGCAACCACCCAGAACACCTTAGAAACCTGCTTGCAACCACCCAAACACTGTAGCAACCAAGTAACAATCACCTCAACAACCTTAGCAAACACCTAGCAACCACCCAAACACTTTAGGAACTACTTAACAACCACCCCAAACACCCTAGCAACTACCCAGCAACCACCCAAAACACCCTAGTAACAACCCAGAACACCTTTAGCAACGACCTTGCAGCCACCAAGAACACCTTAACAACCACCTAGCAACCCATTCAGGACACATTAGTAAAACTTAACAAACAACTAAAACACTTTAGCAACCACCCAAAACACATCAGCAACCACATAACAACCACCCA